AGAGGCGGCCGAGGAAGAGGCGGCCGAGGAAGAGGCGGCCGAGGAAGAGGCGGCCGAGGAAGAGGCGGCCGAGGAAGAGGCGGCCGAGGAAGAGGCGGCCGAGGAAGAGGCGGCCGAGGAAGAGGCGGCCGAGGAAGAGGCGGCCGAGGAAGAGGCGGCCGAGGAAGAGGCGGCCGAGGAAGAGGCGGCCGAGGAAGAGGCGGCCGAGGAAGAGGCGGCCGAGGAAGAGGCAATAAGCAGTCCAAAGGAAATAACAAGCAGGAACATAAAGAATAGCAGCAACCAGGAAAGAAAGCAGAGGAGGCAGAGGAGGTGGTGGAGGAGGAGAAAAAGGAGCAGGAAAAAAAGCAGGAATGATGAAATGATGATAAGGAGCAGGAGGTGCAGGAGAAGAAAGAGGAGGAGAAAGAAAAACAAAGCAATGATGAAAAGATTAACAGGAGGAAAAACAAAGGAGATAAAGAGTGTGAAAACAAAATAATGAGGGTGTGCTGCAAGTGGAGTTGGAGGAGGAAAAAGAAGAAAATACAGAAACGATGAAAAGACAAGGAGGAGCAGGATAAGGAGGTGGAGGAAATAAAAGGGTCAAATAGAAATGACAAGGAGTAAGAGGAAAAAAAAACAACAATGAGGAAATGAGGTGGAGGGGGAAGGGAGGGAGGAGGAGGAGGAGGATAAAAGCAGCACCCACAAAATAAAATTGAGGAGGAAAAAAAACAATCTTTCAAACATGCTGAAGGAGCAGGAGAAAAAAGCAGCGACAAAAAATTAGGAGGAAAAGGAAAAAAAATTAACACCTTTCAAAAAAGGTGGAGGTGGAGAAAAGCAGCAAAAACAACATGAGGTCGATGAGGAAAAAGGCAGCACTTTAGAAGTGTGGAGGAGGCGAAGGTGGAGGAGGAGGAGGAGAAGGAAGATAAAAGTAGCAAATACAAAATAAGGTCTAAGAGGAAAAAAGCAGAATCATTGAAATACGGTGGACGTAGAGGAGGCGGAGAACAAAAGTAGCAACAACTAAATGAGGTCAATGAGGGAAAAGGCAGCATCTTAGAAATATGGCCAAGGTGGAAGTGGAGGAGGAGTACGTAATGGAGCATAAAAGCAACATGAAAAAAGAGAGGAGAAGGAATAAAAGGAGGAAAAAAAAAGGAACAAGTAAAAACCATTGATAATAAAACAGGGAGGGTAAGATGCAGGTGAAAGTTATGGAGAAGGAGGAAAAAAGGCATCTTTGAAATATGGAGGAGTAGGTGGAGGAGGAGGAGAAGGGGGATAAAAGTAGCAACTACAAAATGAAGTTGATGAGGAAAAAGGCAGCATGTTTAAAATATAGTGGAGGAGGTGGAGCAGGAGGTCGTGGTAGAGCAGAAGAGCTACGACAGGAAACTGAGCTGGAGAAGGAACAAAAGGGGAGGACAAAGAGCAGGTAAGAAGCAGCACAAACAAAACAAGGAGGGTAAGGAGCAGGGGGAGGTCGTGGAGGAGGAGGAAAAGAGCAGCAACCATGACATGACAAGAAGGACGAGGAGAAGGAACAGGAGAAAAAAAACAGAGACAAAAAGGAAATGACACGGATGGAGAGGGAAAAATCAGGAATCAGTAAATGACAGGGAAGCGGAAGCACAACATTAGAGAGGGATGAGGAGGACATGAAAAAATTAATGACGATGAACAGTGAAGTAGGAAAAGGAAAAGAAACCACAAAAAAAGGTGGAGGAGGTGGAGGAGGATGTAAGTAGCAACTACAAAATGAGGTTTATGAGGAAGAATGCAGCATATTTGAAATATGGTGGAGGAGATAGAGGTGGAGGTGGTGGAAGAGGAGGGGGATAAAAGCAGCCAACACAAAACATAGTCAATGAGAAAAATATCACAATCTTTGACACATGGTTGAGGAGGTAGAGATGGAGGAGGAGGATGAATGCAAAATCTAGAAACTGAAGAAGAGAAGGAACAATAAGAGGAAAACGAAGAGTAGGTTAAAAGCAGTAAAAACAAAACAAGGAGGGTAACGTGCTGCTAGAGGTCATGGAGAAGACGGAAAAAAAACAGCAACTTTGAAATATGGTGGAGGAGGAAAAGGAAATAAGCAGCAACCACAAAGTGAGGTCCATGATGAAAAAGGTAGCATCTTCAAAATATAGTGGAGGAGTTGGAGGTATAATAGTAGGAGTAGGATAAGTAGGAAAAAAAACAGCAACCACAATATAAGGTCAAGAAGAAGGGAGAAAGTTTTTCACTCAAGGGTTGGAGTCACACTAGGTTTCCTAACACTTTTGGATCCCCCATCCGTGGATGCATTCAAGGCCAGCATGACAGCTGCAAGGACAGCAATGACAACAGTAGGAGTAGAAAGCAGAGACCACGAGAAGAGGAGGTGGAGTAAGACTATGACAACAGGAGAAGGAGTAGGACAACGACAACGACGGGACACGGTGAACAACTCATTGGAGGAACGCAGGAAGACAACAGAAATCTTCTTACCCTTGGAAGTCTTCAGGTACTAAGGGACCTTTAGCAGGATGTCCTTGTCTCCACTTCCAACCCTTCAATTAGGTCTTGGACAGAATGAATCTCTGCTCCAGCCCTTCCAATTACACCTCCTATTTGGAAATAAAAAAAAGTAAGCAAACAAAACCAACGAAGATGGTCTGCTATCCCTTTTTTTCTAGAATTTTCTCTATTTTTCCCCCTCCTTTCAGTACTTGAAATCCAGTGCATATAGCTGTATTCAAGGACCAAGCCCTGCGAGTTAAACTACAAGCCTTCATAATCCCCTAAAGCATCCCTAAAGCATTTTTCAATTCATAAGCATCACCAGGTTAGAAAAAAATAACCATGTGCTACTGCCCTTTAGATAGTACAATGTGGATAATTATCTAATAATTAGGCTGACCGATTCATTTTTTTTTTGAAGCACTGTGGGGGTAGTGGCCACCCTCAGCATGTTTGGTGTTGATAGAAACTTGGGAGGACTGGCTGACACCTGAAGGCTGTGTCGCTGTTCAGCAAGACCTGGATAGGCTCGATAGCTGGGCAGTAAAAAACCATTTGAGGTTTAACAAAAGCAAGTGTAGTCTTGCATCTAGGGAGGATTAACTGCATGCACATGTACAGGTGGGGGTATGAACTGCTATAGAGGAGCTCTGCAGAGAGGTACCTGGGTGTCCTGGTGGACGACAGGTCGGCCATGAGCCAGCAGTGTGCCCTTGTGGCCAAAAAGGCCAATGGCATCCTGGGGTGCATTAAAAAGAGCGTGGCCAGCAGGTCGAGGGAGGTGATCCTCCCCCTCTACTCTGCCCTGGTAAGGCCTCATCTGGAGTACCGTGTCCAGTTCTGGGCTCCCCAGTACAAAAAAGACAAGGATCTCTTGGAAAGAGTCCAGCGGAGGGCCACGAAGATGGTGAAGGGCCTGGAGCATCTCTCCTACGAGGAAAGGCTGAGTGAACTGGGTCTGTTCAGCCTTGAGAAAAGAAGACTGAGAGGGGACCTGATCCAGGTCTATAAATATCTAAGGTGTGGGGGGCAGAATGGCGAGGACGGACTCTTTTCAGTGGTGAGTGGAGACAGGACGAGGGGAAACAGCCGGAAACTGCAGCACAGGAAGTTCTGCACAAATATGCCTAATAACTTCTTCACAGTGAGGTTGACAGAGCACTGGAACAGGCTGCCCAGGGAGGTGGTGGAGTCTCCTTCTCTGGAGGTGTTCAAGACCTGCCTGGATGCCTACCTGTGCGACCTGCTGTAGGAACCTGCTTTAGCAGAGGGGTTGGACTCGATGATCTCTGGAGGTCCCTTCCAACTCCTGCAATTCTGTGATTCTGTGACAATAAGTCATTAGAAAAGGTAGAAGAAAACTCACCATTTCCTCAATTATTCTTCTTGTATTCCAAACCCTGCTCAGCTTATTCAACATATTTCTAACCAGAATAGCTGACGTTATGTTCAGTTGTAATGTCATTTACAAGCATGTACGTAAGGTTTCACAGCTGCTGCAACTTGGGTTAAATCTTTAAGTTTGTTTCTGCATATCAGGTCTCTTCTTATGAGCACAGCGTAGACCCTGGCAGTAAAAACAGCATGGGAAGGAAAATGAGATTGGTCTTCTGGGAAGAACTAACATTTCACTCTGTGCCATGCTATTTCTATACTCGTAATACTATGTCGAGTGTTCTGGGACTGCACTGCACACCTGGGACAACTGGTAGCAGTTGAACAACTGTGAAGTGATAGGAGAGATGTGCACGAAGCTCACAGTTCAGCAGCTGAACGATCCTGTCGGAAGGCATGAGCTATCAACACTGCTCAATGTCAGCAACCAGCTGCTAACCACTACAGTGCAGACGGTGGTCCTCCTCTGGAAAAGGCTCTGTTCAACTTGCTCCGACTAGAACAGAATTAATCCTTCTTCCTTTTAAATAGTGCCACAGCAATCAGACCTTGTCCCCTGACAGTGAGAACATCCTGTCTGCAAGCAGGCTAAGAAGGCAAAAAACATTCTTAAGTGTTCTGTAATGAGCATTTGTTACTGTGACAGGGGAGTCCGCAGAACGGACTCCAATAAAATTAACAACATAAACATTATTTTTCCCTGCTTAATCGCCTGTGGTAGCGTATTTGTCTTTTCAAGAAGTTGACAGAAGAATATGCAAATCTAGTAAGATAATTATGAAGTCTTACCATTCTATCTTCAGAGAGTCACGACAGAAGCCAGGCAAGCTGAAATGTGAGTGCTAACTGAGACAAGACAAAAGAGTTAATTAAGAGTATTTCAAGAGGAGGAGAAAAAAAACTAATCACCAAATACTAAACTCCTATTTTCCTGTGATTTTTCCCTTTATCTGGACAAGCATGGAGAGTTCCTTTACGAAACTGAAACCCATGCTTTCCAGACTACTAAGCTGCAGGATTGAAAAGCTGAGTTTTCTCTGTACTTCACACGCCCTACCAGGTAAAGGAACAAGAGAATAAGCAGAAAGATGCAATAAAAGCAACAAGGAAGAGGAGAATTTCAGAGGCAGTTTCAACCTTGGAGTGAACAGCACATTTCACAGAACCATAGAGTTACAGGGGCAAGAAGGGATCTGTAGAGATCATCGTGTCCAACCCCCTGCCAAAGCAGGCTCCCTAGAGCAGGTTGCACAGGTAGGCGTCCAGGCAGGTCTTGAACACCTGCAGAGAAGGAGATTCCACAACCTCTCTGGGCAGCCTGTTCCAGTGCTTCGTTGT